ATCTGTAGAGTCTATTTTGCATTAATATATTTTACAAATAAATGTCCTTGTGTAAAGCATATGTTGAGATTTAGAGATATCACTGTTGTAGAAGCTGCTACAAAATATCAGATCAGATAACTTCTTAGGAATTTGGCACATTCTGTTTGAAAAGATCTGGCAATGCATCATGGACTAATAGCTAAGATACTCTGGGAGAGGTGATTTTTTTCCTTTCTGAAGGACACTGCAAGGACAGAAGGCATAAGGTCCTTACTGAAACAGAGTATCCCTCGGTATGTTAGGGCAGAAAGTGAGGAGTGCTTTATTTGTCTGAGAAATTATAGTTTACGGATATCCACATATATTATTGAAAGATGTTGTAAGTCCTGATCCAGCAGAACACTTCCTTTTTATTTAAATGCTTTGTTGGCTTGGGACATCCATGTGCCTGGAAGTATTGCCATACAGCTACTGGCCTCGTATCAGCCCTAAGCTCTGCTACCAGCTCAGCACAAAGTCTTGAGCAGCTGCCAGTCAGTCACATTATTAAGGCTTGAAATGCTCCAGGCTGGCTGAGTCGAGGATTACTTCTGCCCATGGTTGCTTTCCAAACTGTGTCACCTACTTCCCAGCCTGCCCTCACTTCTTCAGTTCAGTGTCTGTGTAAGGCAGGCAGTTCTGTGAAAATGAATTTTGAGTCCTTCTGGATGCAGTTAACCTGTGAGGCAATCTGAGACTTCTCTTTCTAGCATGGGAGTATGTTTTTCAGAGTGTGAGAACTGTTTATTAAGGTCCTTCTCTCTGTGTGTGCGGTGGGAAGAATGTGTACAGCTACCACTCCCGTGAAATATTATCGTAGTTCATATTTGAGGAGGAACTGTGAACAACAAACACCTTTCCTCTACAGAAAGGATTTCTTTTGGCTCAGGAAATCCCTGAACTAAAAATTACTAAAAATGAGCAGGTATTTTTGCCCTGTGCTTATCACAAGACAGTTTACATGTACCTTTGGTTTGAATTGGAAAGTCTGCTTGCGTGTTATAACATCAACTACTCTTTACTGGCCGACAAAAAGAAAGGTACCCACAGACTCTTTCCTTTCAATACTGTCCACAAAGAGCTGCTTCTTTTCAATTCAGAAGTCATTCTTTGCTGTCATGTCCTTATGCAATTCTTCCTGCTGTTGCCTGTCAGGGAAGATGTCTCTGATGTCTCCTTTCTCTTCTTCTGAATTAAGCACAGGTCATGCTTTTTAAAATAGATTTGTATAAGCCCTTAACCAAGACTGCAGATACTTCTGCTAAGCACCCTGTACATAAGAAGCTTGAAGAATAATTAAAAAAGCAGTTAATTTTCCTTTCAGGAATCATTACAGCTTGAACCATTGTTTTGTGGTCTAATTAATAAAGGAAGTATTTTTAAGTCTCATAATGCAATGTCTCAGTTTTGACTGAAGGGAAATATGGGTTTTAATGTGTTCTATTGGTTATCAACATGCAGACATATACTGGTCAGAAATCATAGATTTGAGGAGGTTTTCTAAAATGTTCTTGTGGAGACAAGTACTACTTCTCAGACTGTAGAGTGGTGTCTTTCCATTTGCATTTTAATGTCAGAGTTTTTTTACTGGAAAATTATGCAGGGAAATGAGGAGAGGGAAAGGAGAACACATTTTTCAAAAGGGTTTCAAAAGAGAAAAAGCTCTAGAGCTTTGAACATAAAGCAAATAACTGGATTTGCTTATTGTGAACATACTGATTAACAGAAAACCAAAATATTTTTATGCTTATCATCCCTGTTCCTGTTTGTTCTTGACTTTTCTCTCTCAGTCCAGCCTGGACTATCAGTTCTCATTGATACCACTTCTGGCACATTTCCCCATCAGAGGATGACCATAGCTCCAGTGCTCCTTATCTTTGCTTATGAACTTTCTTTATCTGTCACTATTATACAAAACCACTATCCTTCCCATCACTCAGGTATTAGCCACTATTGCTCCCTGTGCCTTACCCTGTAGGCAATATCCAAATACTGCTACATTTTCTTTAGAGTTTTTGGAAGCTTCTTTTCCTTTCCACATAGCTATGTTTTTCCTCTTGTCCTCCATTGATCAATGCAGGATGCTTTTCGTTTACGCCTCTGACACTCACCTCAGCTTTTCTCTACCTCACTATTACCACAGCTGCTGCAAAGATCAAATTAATTAATCTTTCTTCTCCCTGTCATTTTCCACTTTAAATCTTTCCATTGCAGCCAGTTCAAGTTGGTCCTCTTTATCTAAAAGGCCTCTCACAGGTCTCTCGCTCTTTTTCACACCTGTTCATGTTTCATTCCCCATTGTGCCTTCCAATATTCCCCTCCAGAAATATCTTTTGCGTTTGTCCATCTCTTCACTGTTCCTTAATTATGGGGGTCTGGTATTTTCTCGGGGTTTTTTTCAGGGCTGTCTTCTCTTTGTGATAGTTTCCAAAGAGTTATCTTGCCATTTGTATGCATAATGCCTCTGAACTTTCGGTCTCAGTTATATGCTGCCCTTTTAACATTAGCCAAATAATTAAGGACAGATAAAGGAGCAGTCAGTACAGATGAAGAGCATGCATTTTATTAAAAATGCTCAATTTAAATATAAGATAGTTCATATACATATAATGTATATTACACGTATATTTAAAGGACATAAATGAATAAATAGAGTTATGATAGACAAATAATGCATCCTAGTGTTGCCACCTAATTTGCATTTCATATGTTATTAATAATCTTTAATGGTAACTGTTCTGGGAAAGCACTGATAAGGGCTGCATATACAATATAGCTTGGGAACTATAACTATATAACTTCCCAAGCAAGTTTTGCATATATTGCAAAAGTAACTTTTAATTTTTTATTGCATTTTTTGCTACCAGATTTTCCTTCCACTCTAATGTATACTCTCATTTCCACTTTCCAACAGCAAAACAAAGCTAGTGCTTTTTCTTATAGTTTCAATCTGGCTTTCACATTTGTTTAAATGCACCCTAGAAGAGGTCACAGCAAGTGGTTTGTGATTCTTAAATAAATGTGCAGAGTAGTATTGGAACAAATAGGTAGCATTAGCTCTGTTCTTAAAATTGTGTACAAAATAACTAATCCTTTTCCCATCTCACAAAACCAAGACACTGTAAGTTCATTATTTATTGAAAGCTGACAGCATAATTGCTGTTGTGTAAGCAAGACTTTCTGCTTATAATCTTTTGCTGACGGCAGGTACTGACCTCACTAATATGTAGAAGGGCTGTTTTCTCACTTCTTGACTGCAGGAGCACTTTTTTCACTGGAAGTGAACAATGAAGTTTAAATGTATGTTGTGGCAAAAGCAGGAAATCTTCATGCCAAATATGACCAAAATAATGTAGGTGTGATGGGTTTGCACAGATGTTCACAGCCAAAGCAAGTTTGTGGGTGCTTCCCAGCCCAATAGGGTAAGAGTATTCAAAGGATTTCAGTAGCTGCCTTCCAAACCGTAGTAAAGGTTTGAAAGCTCAATCAAATTTGAGTGCTATTTATTCACAGATTATTTTTTAAAAAAAAATCCTAGTCTGTAATTAACAGCATTATTGTGAAGATTGAAGGTTTTATGTTGCCTGTGAAAATGTTGTAATCAGTATCACACTGAATGCAGAACGACATGTTCTTAAGTTACGCATGGGCTTAGTGTATAGCAGATATAATGCTATACCCATTGTCTGTGACATATAAGAGAGCAAAAAAATGAAAAGGGTGCTTAGCTGCATGATAAAAGTCTTGGACACATGGGAAGAACTATAGTCACTGAAATAATGTGGGGTCCCACGAGTTCGTAGAACTTCATGGACACCAAAGTTATAAAATGCTGGCATTTGTCTTAACATAAAAAAGTGCTAACAATGATTTTTTATTTGTATTTGAGTAAATATATATTGTGTTATTAAAAAAATAGGGTTTGACAGACAAAAGCACAGTGTGATAACTGTGAATTGAATAGGTCAAAGGACCATACTGAGTATAGTATTAGTTAAGTGACTCATTCAGACACCATCAGACCCTCTGTTTTAGTAGCTGCTATTTATTTTCTTCATGTTATCTCTTGTTTTGCAACAGTCCAGTTCCTATGAGTAAGAGTATTCTCAGAAGATATAAATATTTTCTTTTCATTTTTTAATGTAATAAAGTTAACAACAGAAAAAGACTTTCCTATTTGTAAAAATTATTTTCTTGGCAAACACAATTGCTAATATGTATGCAGAATAAATCCCTGTTTGATTATTCACTCTGAAAGAAACTTAGATGTTGAATTCAAGCTTTACAGATCAACGTAATCGCCACATCTCAGTTACATGGGATGATTGCTAGAATAGTCACATGGATTTTTTTTTTATTTGCTGGGGATTTATTCCTCCTTATTTTGAGGGGATACAATTATTTTTAAAATCATTGGTGCCTTAATCTTCAGCATCTTCACTGGTGCAGTATCTCTCAAGTCTGACAAAGTGAGAAAGACCTTAGACCTTGAGGAGTTTAGAAGGAAAAAAACACAAAGAAGATAAAAGCACCATATTCATTCACTCCACTTTATTACTCTTTGCCAGTTTGAGAAAATTTGGGTCTTACTTTAAAGCCTGTGTTAGAAGTGGTGCCAAAAATAACCCTCTGTAATGTATCTATTTGTGTAATTTGATGGCTGATATTGCAGTAACTCTTGGTGATCCCATCCTATTCTGTTCATGATCCCTGTTTTGACTGTTGTAGTCTCCAGCAAACATGCACAAAAGAAGAAAATAGTTTTAGTAAAAAGATAACCACGTTTTTGTTCTTTTTTTAACTGCATCTGATTTACACTAGAGGAATGGGAGAGCCTGTTTTCTTCCAGTTCACTCTTTATTCTTTGGTTTATTATTTCTTTGAAAGGGTTGCTGTGACTGGCTTGTAAATAAGTGTTAATGATATTATCATGGGAAGCACAAGAGAGACAGACTGACATGGATCTCATGTTTTTCCAGATGAGGATAGGCATTCACTCAGGATCGGTGCTGGCCGGTGTCGTTGGTGTAAGAATGCCACGTTATTGTCTCTTTGGGAACAACGTCACCCTCGCAAGCAAGTTCGAGTCAGGAAGTCACCCACGCCGCATCAATGTCAGTCCAACCACATACCAGTAAGTTCTCTTAGACTTTTCATTCTGTTTTCATTTCAGCATGTTTTGAGTTTGATCTTGTAACATGTTCTGTCCTCAACACGTGAACTTTAACAGAAAGTTGGCAGGGCACCAGGCCAACTGCAAAGAGTTGTTGCATGGGACTGTCGGTCTTGCATTGGTAGGTTTGCATCAGAATGCACAACGAAGTCAGGCAGTGGAGGCAAGGAAGCACAACAGGAGGTCCAACCATTCCTGCCTAAAATAGCATGTAACAGAAGAAATGGGAGATGTCTCCCAAAGCACCGTAATTTTATGTGCTATTACATCTTTAGGCTAAGGACTTGGGTTCCACCTGCTAAACACAGTCTGTGGAGAGAAGCATATTCCCATTGGCTCAGAAGAAAGTCTTTAATTTTGCCAGTGAGGCCAAGCTTTCAAAGAGTTTTCATGATTTCTTGAAGACAAAATTTCTTATATAGCACTGTAAAGAGACACTTGATAGAAGCATTTTCTTAATGTAGGAAAAAAGATTGAAAGTGGCAAAGCATTATCCCAAGCTCTTTGAAGAAATTATGCAAATAGAGAAGGCTTGATTAAATCTGGTTATGAGGAACAGCTCCTAAATAAAAAAGGTGTTCCTTACTGTTGAAATTTGACAGCTTGACTATTAGAATTTCTGCTGCTTGGATTAATACTGATGTATTCACTTTTTTGGCAGGAGATCTCAATCTTACTCTTTCTCCAGTGTTCTGTATCTGCAGTAATTTTCTGAAGTACGGTTTTGCTCAGGTTTTGGGACTGTTTCTCTGTGGTAAATCTGTATGCAATTGCTCAAACAATACTGCTTTTCTTTCTTTTTTTCTTTATACAGAACTGTGAATCTCAATATTTATTTTTTCCCCATAACTATCTGTGTAAATTAAAGTTTTAAATGGAATTTCTTCATCCAAAAATTGAAGCATCTGATATGCTAAAATATAAATCAGTCAGAAATTAAAGTTAAAAGTAATTAAAACCAGTGAATAAAATTATATTCTTCTGAACAGCCCATTCACTCAAGATCAGATTTGCAAAATGGAGGAAGTGTAGCTATTGAACAAGAGGCAGAAAAACTGAATAGACTTCTGATCATAAAGTGAACAGAAGCAGATTCATACAATTGTCTGGTAACATGCAAGAGAAACAGACCCAACCTACTATTGGGTATAGAAAATCTGTTCATTTAAATAAAAATAAATTCAATAAATATATAGGAAATTGCTGTTTGGAACTTGGTGTCACTTGAAAAGAAATTGTCTTTGGGACCTTCCAGATACAGTGTTCTAGTGGCTTTGCTTCCTGGTCTTCTACTGTGGGTAGGAGAAACCCTCTAAGATGTTATTTGAAAAGTGAACACAAGATTGTTCACCAGTTGTGTCCCAGTTTTGAAAACATAATCAGTAGCAGGGCCTTTGGTGTTAGTTTTATACAAATGGAGGTAAGTGATTCTGGCAAAAAGTGACCGAGGCCCTATGACAGGGACCTGAACTTTCCTTGTACAGGAACAGTTCTTACAAAGGGATGTTCTCCAACCTGAGAATGTCTTCAAGATATTCTGAAAGTGCAGTCTGTCCTTTTTCAGAAGAGAGATCTTAGTGCTTCACAAATGTGGTTCAGGGGTGTGATTCCACTCAGGCCTATGGTGTTGTTCAAGTTTGTGTCCCTGAGAGCAGAAATTGGTGAGCTAGAGTGTTACATATTTTAAGAAAAATACAGTTGGAAATGTAAGTAGTGAGTATTTGTGGGGCCAGTGATGTACGAAACTCTTTTCTTGGCATGCTGAAGCCAGATTTACTTTTCGAGTACCAGTGCCAGTTCTGTTGGGTTTGGTTATGAGAGTGATATGGCACCTTCTCTGTGAGACAACAGATTTGTGGTTATTGTTGAGCAACCTGATCTAGTTGAAGAAGTCTCTGCTCATGGCAGGGAGGTTTGACTAGATGACCTCCAAAGGTCCCTTCCAACCCAAACCATTCTATGATTCTATGATTGTATGTTTTCTTTTCATCGTATTGCTGGTAAAAAGTCTGTTCTGAAAGCCAGTTTGAGGGCTTGTATATGGAATTTGTTAGAAATCCGTGTTTTTGTGCTGCCCTTTATTTGACTGTACATCGTAGCACAGAGAAGATAGCTTCTGTTTGTCTGTGTCTCCCCTCTACCTGGCTGCCATTGGTCATACCATACCATACCAAGTCCAATGTGAGTAACCTGGGTTTGGAGAGCATTCTTACTAAGACCTAGCTAGCGTAATGTGAGTCAGAGTTTCTCACCCTCTATGTCCTCCAGGTTCTATCAAAGGGGGAGCTACATGTTTTTTTCACTTCCCTTTAATCCTAGAAATCCAGTAGGAATAGGACCATTTGTTTCAGGATGGCCAAACTTTTACTTTATATGATCATCATGTCTGGGCTTATCTTCCAGAAAGTTACAAATTTAAACTGTTACTTTCAAAAAGGGAAGCTGGTAGAAAAGTGACTGACGATGCAGTAATACTATAACATAAAATTACAAAACAAAACACAACACAACAAAATACAGAACTATTGATATTTATCTGCATTATTGTACTATGTAAAAAATCTGCTGTTATGTCCTGAACAAATTCAGTGCTCGATTCAGAGAACTTTAAGTGCAAGTAACAAGCTAGACATATGGTTACAGGTAAAGTAGAAATGGCAAGAAAATATATGTTTGAATGAGGCAGTTATCATTCAAGATGAATGGCTAAAAGTAATGATGAAAAGGCTAGGAACGAGTTTATTTTACATACTTCAGAAATTATATGAGAAAATAAAATGAATGTGCATGGGGCAACTTAGAAAGGCTATTTGATTGAAAGCGTGAGAACAGACAGGGGAGAAGTCAAGACATGACACTGCTGACACAGTGGCCAGGAGACACTTCAATTGCAAAATACTCTATAGGGCAGAATTATTCAGAGCTTCTGAAGGTGATCTAGGAGGTTTGAACATAATATACTGGTGCTATCCAAACAAACAAGTAGCGTTCTGATGCATCTGTATATAACTTTTCTTAAATATAATTTGCATGAGTATATAATTTGCTGTGTACAAGTGATTCATCGCAAACTAAAATGTCTTTATAGTTGACCTTATATTCCACCAAATGCTTCTATTTGATCACACTGTGCTGCTGTATACTCAGTTAATATTTTTATTATCTAAGAAGCAATGTTTTCCAAAGCAGATAATCCTGCAATCAGTATGAAAATAACAGAATTTTCAATTAATTAAAACTACTGGCATTTATCATTACATGTTTGTGTCTACCATGCCCCCGATGAAAATTCTGATACAAGTTTTGTGCTTACAAAGCATGCAGATACTGGAAACATGTCTAATACTTATCACCTTTCATTTTACAGTACAGATTATGCATTACAAAGCGTCATCAGCATTCAAATTATAATCACACTTCAGAATGCCTATTACTGGTTTCAGACACTTCCCTGTGAGCCCGTAATCTGCCTATGTAAGAATCAGAGTCTAAAATAATAAATATAAGATGTGGTGTTGCCTAGAAGCATCAGTGAACCTGGGGCAGCCTTGCTCCAGTTACACCTGACTGGGCAGAGCTTTGCGGTGTGAAACAGCACCTTTTACAAAGGTGACCTTTGAATCTGTTGGGGATAAGAACTCGCTTCTGTTCAAAATATCTTGTTCTCTTGACTCAACAGGTCTTTTGACTGAAGGATTACAGAGCCCCATTTGCTTTGAAACACTGAGCATTGTAAAATGGAAGCACTGGAACAGCACTGGTAAAACTTCCAGTGAAACATGTGGAAACTGGAGAGGGAGTAGAGGATCCTAGACTGGTCCCTGTTTAAACATGTGGCCAGGAAGGAATAGGAGAAGTATAACACATTCTCTGTTCCATTAGTAAACCAGCAAATCCAGCTCAAGGTTTATTTAATTCATCTACATTATCCTGAATTGAATAAAATTACCCTATTTTCAATACTCAGGAAGGAAGCATAATGAGATTTCTGAGTCTTTTCTTCAGCACAGAAGAGAGATTAAATATTTTTTAATTCTTTGTTTCAGCATTGAATAATGATGTTTGTCAGATATTAATATAATATACCCACATTCATCCTGTTTCCCTAATAGTATTACAATGTAATGCCTTGGGATCTCTAAGCAGTTATCAGAAGCAGGTAAACATAATTGTTGCTATTTGTCAAGTAACTGCATTTAGAAATGAATTCTCTTTTTCCTGTTCTTTCTACCTATGGTCTTTTCCAGCACGTATTTCCCTTGTGGAGAAGGTGCTTCTGGCATCAAGTGTTGGGTATAGATACTTTCCATTATCACATGCTGGGGAATACATCTGGGACCTGAGCTTAGGCAATGATGAATAGCCTATATCCCACATCCTTATCTGATTTAGGAGAGAGAGCAACCAAGAGTACCTCCTTACTGAGCTGGGTAAGGTCACTGCTGGTTCACCTGCCTAAATTGCCCCTCAGCCTTTAAAATTCATCAAAAACTGCAGATTTATCTCACAGAATGTTGCATGGAAGAAGTTTCACTTTCAGGTAATTAAGAAAGATGTATATACATCTGTCTCTATTGGGATTTTAAATTAGAATGATGCATTTGTATAAACTCCTTACAGATTTTTATTTTAATCAAATTCTTTTTCCTACCAGTTATTATCTATATTATTTTTCCTACAGGTTATATCTATATCTATGTCTGTATCTCTATCTCTATCTCTATCTTAATCTCCATCTATATCTACATCTGTATTTTTCTGCCTCATATGGACAAACAAATGGATTTGCTCTCCAAAAGCCTTTTCAGATTATTTTAAATCTTATTTCTGAGCATCCTTTAAAGAACTGTTTCTTTTTATATTGGTCAATTCACCATGTATGCTTTCATGAGACATATTGGTGGACAGGCAATTTAGTGATGGACAGAAGGGGAACACAGCTTATACAAGGACACAAAAAA